GGACAAGGCGGCGGGCATGATGAGCTTCCCGGCGCAGCCGCCCCGCCGCAGACCGCACACCTGAGCGACCCGGTCACTGGCGTCTACCTCTGCCGTGTGCGCTCGAAGGGGCCCCTGTACGTGTCGTCCGCCGGCCAGTCCCCCATCGGGCCGCTGCACCACACAGTCGTCGTCGAGGACGGCGCCGTGCTGGACAACGTGTTCGGCGGCTTTTTCCGCGGCGGCGGCGACAGGGTGCTGCTTGTCACGCTGGCCGGCGGCATGCTCCAGCTGGAGCCGCCACCGCCGCCGCAGCCGCAGCCGCAGCCGCAGCCGCAGCCGCAGCCGCAGCCGCAGCCGCAGCCGCAGCCGCAGCCGCAGCCGCAGCCGCAGCCGCAGCCGCAGCCGCAGCCGCAGCCGCAGCCGCAGCCGTCCGCGCGCGCCGCGGCCCTCGAGCGGGAGGTGGCAGACGCGCGGCGCAGGTGCGAGGAGATTGCGCGCGCGCGGACGCGCCTCCTCACGGCGCTCGCCCCCCTCGACAGCCCCGCCACGGCGACCGCGCTCATAAAGCTGAGCGCCCCCCTCGGCGACCCGGCCGCCTACCTCGCGGCGCTCGTGCGCGGCCTCAGGCGCGGCCTGGACGAGGCGAGGCAGAGGCTGGCCGCCCTGGAGGCGGAGGCGGAGGCCGCCCGCGGCGCGGCAGCCGCCGCCACCACCACGCCCAGCGAGCGGCCCAGCAAGGTGCGCGCCACCGGGACGCCCTCGGTCGCCGTCACGCGCCAGACCACCCTTGCGGCGGGCTTGGCGTCGCCCGAGGCGGGCAGGCACCCCGGCGAGGCCGGTGGCCGGGGTGACGATGCCGGCGCGGGGCCCTCGGATACGGCGGCCGGGGGCGGCGGCGTGGCTCTGGGGGCGGCGGCGGCGCGGGGGCCCGAGGCGGCGCGCAAGCTGCAGTGGGACCAGCGCCCGCCCCGCCGGCAGGGGCAGACGCAGCAGCAGCAGCTGGAGGGGCAGCAACAGCTGGAGGGGCATCAACAGCAGGAGCAGCAGCA